GTAAAATGTAGGGTATGCAGGGTAGATCGATCTTAGTAGGATAATAGGTCGGCACAAAATCGTGGGCCATGGGGCCTGTACTGTGCTGTACTGTTCCATGTTCTATGTTAGTGAGGAGGACTTTGCATGGTCGACAGGGCCGCTTCTGCCGTTGTCTTTTCCGGTCCCTAGGTCGATACCAGGTGATCCGTCCAGTTTCATTTCTTTGAGTCTTTGTAGCGATTGGTACAACTGAGTGGCTTGTTAGGCTATTTCAGAGGGCAGTTGAGAGTCAACCACATTGCTGTGAGTCTGGAGTCACATGTAGGCCGGACCAGTTGAGAGTGGCAGACTTCCTCCCCTGAAGGACATCAGTGAACCAGATTGGTTTTTCCAACAATCGGCAATGATTTCATGGTGATCAGTAGATTCTTAATTCCAGACTTTTTTTGAATTCCAATTCGAACCCAGGTCCCCAGATCATCAGCTGGGTTTCTGGATTAATAGTCTAGCGATAATACCACTAGGCCATCGCCTACCCATTAATATATATTAATGACTTAGATGAGGGAGCTCAATGTAACATCTCCAAACTTGCAGACGACACAAAGCTGGGTAGGAGATTGAACTATGAGGAGGATGCAGAGATGCTTCAGTGTGATTTGGAAAAGTTGAGTGAGTGGGAAAATGGGTGGCAGATAAGATGTAAGGTGGATAAATGTGAGGTTATCCTGTTTTTGCTACCAAAGTGAATGCAATTATTATCTAAATGGTAAACGATAGGAAAAAGGGACAGGTACAACAAGACTTGGCTGTCCTTATGACCAATTGTTGAAAGTAACAACGGTTGCAGCATTTGCTGAAGCAGCTTTCATGCAATTGTACAGAGCCTTGATGAGACCACACCTGAAGTACTGTGTGCAGTTTTAGTCTTCTTCAGAGGAAGGATATTATGGCTATGGAGGGGTGTAGCAAAGGTTTCGCATACTGGTTCCTGGGATGGCAGGAATGACACGAAAGAAGACTGGATTAGTTTAGGACTGTATTCACTAGAGTTTTGAAGCATGAGGGGGAAATCTCAAAAACTTTTAAAGTCTAACAGGACTAGACAGAGTAAACACAGTAAGGATGTTCCCAATGATGGGAAAGCCCACAACCAGAGGTCACAAATGAGGGATATGGGGTAGTGTTAGAATGTTTGTTGATTTTTCATATGATTTTTAAAAATAAAATATTTTGGTTTGGTGCTATGAATTGAGAGCTGAAGATGACCTTTGGACTATGAGCAGGAGCTTGTGTTTAAAAGGAGAACAGACTGATAATTGCTTATGAGGCGAGGCCTGAAAGATAACTTCATGTTGATTCTTGTTAAAAAGTGCTTTAGAGCCACTTCAACTTGAGAGGCCTGCTCAAGCAGATAACAGATGTTGAATGACCTCGTAGGGAGATGGTCAGTCTGGCAGGGAAAGACCAGAGTTTGAACTGGTTTTTGGAGTAAATTTAGATCAGAAAGATTGCACCTCAAAAAGCTACAGAAGGTTTGATTGCTCCCTGGTTGTCCTCTCTCCATCAACTTATCCAAAGTTCAGAGAAAAGAATCTCAGTTAAAAGAATTAAATGAATATTACTCAGAGCCTACTGGAATCTATATGGTGTCATCAGAAATCAAACAAGAAACAATCCCCTGTGCCAGTGATTTTGCAGATTGTGGAGACTGCTTAGGTGAACAGGCCAGTTACATTTCATTTATTTTTATCCTTTTGTTTTATCCATTAACTGTGTCTGTCTGCCTGGTGGCCTGACTTAAGTGAGATTGGGGCTAAAGTTAGAGAGGATTGGGTTGAAACCTTAAGACATTAATTAGATTACCTTGTTAAAACAAAGAAGTGCAAAGAACAGTATAGCACAGAAACAGGCCCTTCAGCTCACCAAGTCTGCATTGATGCATGACACCTTTCTAAACTAAAAATCTTTTGCTTCTACACTGTTCACATCCCTCTCTTCCCTGTCTATTCAATATATCTGTCAAGATGCCTCTTAAATATTGCTATTTTATCTGTCAGTGCATTCCAAGTACTTACCACCCCTCATGTTAGAAAAAACCTTGCCTCTTACATCTCCTTCAAACATTCCCCCTTTTACCTTAAAATCTATGTTCCCCAAGTATTCGTTCTATCCATGTCTCTCTGTCAGGTCACCCCTCAGCCTCCAACATTCAAGTGAAAACAAACCACTTTGTCCAATCTGTCCTTGTAGCTAAAAGCCCCCAAACTAAGCAACATCTCTGTAAACCATTTCTGTACCCTCTCCAAAGCCTCCATATCATTCTGATAGTTTGGCTACTAGAACTGTACACAATATTCCAAATTTGACCTAACCGAAGTTCTTTTCAGCTGTAACATGCTTGCCAACTTTTATACATAATGCCCCACTGATGAAGGCAAGCATGCCAGATGTTTTCTTGGCCACCTTAGCCAGTTGTGCTGCCACTATCAGAGAACTGTGGACCTGTACACCTTGGTCACCAGCATGCTAAGGTTTCTGAGGGTTCTGTCATTTACTACATAGTTCCCTTTCAAAATTAGACTTTCCAAAATGCATCACTTTGCATTTGTCTGGATTAAATTCAATCCGCTATTTCTCTGCTCAAGTGTCCAACTGTCTATATCCTGCTGCATCGTTTGGCAATCTTCCTCACCATCTGCAGTGTCATCCGCAAACTTACTAATCAGACCACATATATTCCCCTCCAAATCAGTTACATACAGTACGTATATTACAAAACAACAGGGGTCCCAGCACTGATCCCTGCAAAAACACCAGTGGTTGCAGATCTCCATTCAGAAAAGCACCTTTCCATCTCTGTTGTTTCACTTTGCATTGCTGAAGTTATTGTGTTATTAATAAATTGTCGACTCTTTTGTTTGAGCTTTAAACCTGTTGTCTAGTTTCGATTATTCACAAGGTTGGTACTTGTTATTTTTCAAGTCTGGTTAGGAACCATTGGGGTCCATTTTGAGAGTCACTGGAGTGTTCAAATTTTACTGCATTATGAATAGAGAGGTTGGAAGGCTGATTTGGTTTCATTATCTGTCTTCATTTTGTAACAAATAGGCCACTTAGGACTGAAATGAGGAGAAATTTCTTCAGAGTGGTGAGATTGTGGTATTCTCTGCCACGGTAAATGGTTGAAGCCAAAACACTGAATGTTTCAGAGGGAGAGATATAGTTCTTAGAGCTAAAGGAATCAAAGCAGGAATACAGTTCTGAATTGTTATGGTGGAACAGGCTTAAAAGGGCCAAATGGCCTACTCCTGCTCCTTTTTCTAGGTTTATGCTTTTTATGTTTCTTGCAAAAGTGATCTTCAAGGATATTCTGATTAACAACACGATGGCACAATGGGTCTGCCCCCACTCAGTGGTAGAAATTAGGTCAGTGCTTGAGATTTATTTCATTAGGTGCTCACTCTCTGAGTATATGCGACAATAAAGGCTATTGTGATTGATTCTTGGACTAGCTGCTTTCTTTCCTTTCTCAGATTCAGAACCAAATTGATAGGAGCTAGTATCCAAGGCCCAACCATCATCAGCTCCTTCAATGACCTTCCCTCCATAAAAGTCCAATGTGGAGATGTTCGCTGATGATTGCACAATGTTCAGTACCATTCACTACTTCTCAGAGCTAAAGCAGTCTGTGTCCATATACAGCAACATCCGGGTTCGAACTGGTAAATGGCAAGTACATCCACACCACATAACTGCCTGGCAATGACCATCTCCAATAAGAGGGAATTTACAAACATTGCCCTTTGATGTTTAGTAGCATTACCACAACTGAATCCCCATAACAACAATCTGGGATTTCCATTAACCAGAAACAGAACTGGACAAAACATACGCATACTGTGACTCAACAGTTAATACCATCTAGGACAAAGCAGCCTACCAAGATACCTCTGAAAGCATCCTCCAAAGTTATCACGCCTCCTGCTGAAAAGAACAGATGCATGAAGGACTAAATTCCTCTGCAAACCAAACACCATCTCGATTTGGAACTGCACAGTTCCTTCATTTCACTGGGTTTAAATCCTGGATCTCCCATTCTAAAAGCACTATGAACATACCTCCATCCAAGGAACTGTGGCAGTTCAAGGAGGCAGCTCACCAACGCAACCAGTGATGGGGATACCCACATGATATGAATAATTAAACTAAGTTGAAGATGGATAACACATTGGATCTCCATAAAAAATTTTTGAAAATCACACAAGTATAACATTCAGCATCATGTGAAATGAAGGGGAAAGTAAAAGTGAAAGCATTATGCTGGTGCAGTCTGCTGTGTAGGGGAGGTGACAGCCTAGTGGTATAAATCACTGGACTGTTAATCCAGAGACTAAGGTAATGTTCTGCAGACCTCAGTTTGAATCCCACCGTGGCAGATTGTGGAATTTGAATTCAATATAAATCTGAAATTAAGAGTCTAATGATTCTCTAACATATTATTACACTTGAAAGAAAACCATCCAGAAAAATATAAAAATTTTTCTTTCAACAAGTGAATTGTTCTTGTATAAAGAATAAAATGTTAATGAATTCTTTAAGAATAAGAAAAAAATGCTATAGTGTATTAGGTCACAGCAATAGCAAGAGTTAGTCTTAAATTGTTAAATACAACCTCAATCCAATTGAATGCAAGAAACCTGCGTGACACATTAATCTAAAGAATAAAAAAATCTTCCTGAGAGGGTATCTGATATGTAATGAAAAATTGACACTCTCTTTACAATCTCCCTCCCTATCACTATGGGTGTAGCTATCTCAGACGGACTTCAAGTTAGGAAGTTATCATGCCATCATCTTCAAGAGAATTAGATGAGCAACAAATGCTGCCTGTACAACACTAATTCCAAGAAAGAATACAAAAATAGTTGTGGCAGTAAATGGAACATGTATTAGTGTACAATAAACTAAGAATTGTGATGGAGCACTGTCTTAATGACCAATGTTAAGCGTCTTACCATGACTTCCTGAAAGGTCTGCTGGTCATCAATTGCATTATCCACAGTATATCCAAACTCCCTCAAGTAATAATAATTCTCTGTTTTAGATAAGTAACATATCTCTGCAGAATAAAAGATTAAAATGTATTAACTCCTGTTTAGTATTGATGATTGTTAGTTGAAAATAATTAAAATCATCTTATTTTCCCAATACATTGTGTTTTAATTGTGCTCTTTATAGCCACAAATAAATTTCTTCAAAGTTAGCTTTGATAACATTGGAAAATTAAAATAAAAATATCTACAGTTCAAAGTACGAATGAATTAATTTGCGTGAAAAGAAAAATTGTAAATGCTGCAAGTATGAGGTAATAAGCAGCTGGGCATTGAAAAGGCAAATTAACATTCCTGGTATACACCTCCTGCAAAACCAAAATTGTCTTTAATACAGATTACATCATATATGAACCTGACTTTTCTCTTCATGGATAATGAGTAACCGGACGTAGAATTTGATCATTTTCTATGCTGATAGCAACAGGATCAAAATAGCTGAGAATGCAAGCTGTCATTTGTATGAGACCAGACCAAAATGTTCACCTCAATTAACAAGTACTCATGGACTTGGGTCAACATGAACATGGAAGAGACAGGACAGTCTTATTACAGACCATCGTTTTAAATGCATCTTGCTAAAATACAAGTTGAAAAAATATCAGAAAAACTCCAGCTTCTGTGATTCCTACCTTTAAACTTCCACAAACCTTTCTGCTGGTTACACCGGTATTCGGGATTTTGTGAGGAAAGACAAAGCACAATTGAGCAATATCTCTTGCTTTCACAATTGCATTTGTAATAATGGACTGAATCTTACTTTTTCTGGCTAAGTGTCAGAATCATAGAGTAATACAGTATGCCCATTCCATGTATGCATCACTCTCTACGTGAACAAGTTGCTCCACAGGTCTTTCTTAAATCTTTCCCTCTCACCTAAAACCTATTTCCTCTAGTTTTCAATTCCCCGTCCATGGGAAAAAAAAAGACCATATGCATTCATCCTCTATGCTCCTCATGATTTTATATGCCTCAATAAGGTCATCCCTCATTCTCCTATGTTCCAAGGAATAAAGTCCTATCCTGGCCAACCTCTACCTATAACTCAGGCCTACTAGTCCTGGCAACACCCTCGTAAATCTTCTTTGCACACTTTCCAGTTTAACCATGTATTTCTTATAACAGGGTGACCAGAACTGTACACAATATTCCAAGTGTGGCCTCACCAGCGACTTATACAACTGTAACATAACATCACAATTCCTATACTCAATGCCTCGACCGATGAAGGCCAGCATGCTAAATGCCTTCTTCACCACCCTGTCCACCTGTAACACCTCTTTCACTGAACTATGTACTTGTACTCCTAGGTCCCTAGGTCCCCACAACACTCCTCGGGACATTACCATTTACTGTACAAGTGCTACATTGGTTTGCCTTTCCAAAGGGCAACACCTCACACTTATCTGTATTGAACTGCATTTGTATTCAGCACAGCCAACCCATTTTCATCTTCTAGCTTCACTTCTTCCCTGGCTTACTATCAATAATCTCCTTCTCTGTCCACCCTTTCTTCTCTCTCTCTCTCTCTCTCAGCTCCCTCTCCACCGAATCGCCCATTACTTTATCCACCCCAGTTAGCAGCTAGGAAAATACGATATTTATGCTGATATCAGTTCTGACAAAGGATCACTAGACTCAAAATGTTAACTCTTTTCTCTCCAAAAATGCTGGCAGACCTGCTGAGTTTTGCCAGCATTTTCTGTGTTTGTTTCAGATCTCCAGCATCCACAGATCTTTATTTTATTTTAGCATTTAATTCATTGCCATATCTGTTCCTCCTCAACGAAGTTGTACTCTTCTCTCTAACTGGATTTCCATTTTAGTCTTTCCTCTTATTCACCATCATTATTTTTGTTTTCACTCCAAGTGTTTGACAAGGGATTTGCCAAAAGTTGCTTCACAGCCACATCTCATTCTTCAGTGATTGCCTCCCTCTTAGCCTCACCCACTTGGACTCCAACAGAAGTTTCATCCTTTGATATTCAAATCCAACCAGGTTCACAGATGTCTCCGTCATGTACAAAGCTCCTTGGACAACTACACTTGCCCAATGCCAGGATCTACACTCTGTGCCATGCAACACTGTATGCACAATCTTCACTTCTCTCCCCATCGGCACCATCTCATGTTGTTTGAGAGCTGTCCTACCCCCGAGTTCCACATCAGCTCGTTCAAAACTCTAACAAGAAACATTTTCTCTTCCTTTCAGGCATTGAAGGAACACATGCTTCAACAAATCAGAGCTATCCACACCCCTCTGGAACCTTTCTCCTCTCCCTTACCCTCTGACTCCATCCCTCTCCTAACCCCACCTCTTATCAGGTATTCACTATCCCTCTGACCTTCTGCTCTCTGTTATGTGGTGATTGTAACAAGGTCAGCCTGGTGGCTAATGAATGAGTTCCCTGATTGGACCAGATTAACAGCCCCAATCAGGGAGCCCTGGCTGACACATAAGTAAGTGAGTCAGAGGTTCTGTTCACTCAGAGTTGGATCTGAGAGAGCTGGCTCAGTGTCAAGGACACTCCCCACGTAAATAAAGGGTAACTGGTTGATGGGATAGTCTGAGTTATTTCATTGAGTACAGAACATTCAGCATCAGAGTCTCTTTGAAGGCCCACCTCAAATATTTTGGGCACAACATGACATTGAACTCCTCTTCCAACACCTTCACCATTGTGTCCATTTTTTTGTACGGGTGTCCTCTCCCCATCCCACAGACTCCTTCACCTACCTCTAATACTCCCCCTTCACCTCAATCACTCTCCTTGTTATTTGCACTTGACCTGCTCATTGAAAATTAATGACATGACACTAAGATGACCAATTTCTCTGCCCTCTCACCCATTCTAACATCTCCCCCTCTGAACTCAACATAATCTGTGTTCACAGATCCAACACTGACTTTGTAAACAAAGCTGCTGACAAAGGTGGTGCTGTTGTCAATATGCCAGATGACGTTTACATCGTAGAGGCTAAATGCCAGCTGTTGGACACCACCTATCTTTCCTGGATCTTGACCCCACCATCGAACATTTTGCCCGTGACTGTCACAAACCTCATCTCATCTAAGGATTTCACTTTCTCTTCCCCATTCCCCACAGCCTTCCAGCTCACACAGCCGAATCTCACACATCCTGCTCCTAACTTCTTCCTCGAATCCACAAATTGTTCCAACCTGTTTCTGGCCCATGAAACTTATTTCTTCCTACCCTGACTCAATTTTTAATTTCCCCTCATCCAGTCCCCTCTCACATACACGATTCTTCTGACGCTTTGTCGATTTCAAAATTTCCAGTTTGAAGGTATCAGCTGCCTCTCCTTCATCAGGGACATGCAATCTTTCTATACATTCATCCCCTACCTGCCTTATCAACAATTCCTTTGTCTGCCTCCTGGGAGGTCAAACGCAAGAGGAAAGAATACTGTAAGTGGCCAGTTCCTTAGGAGCATTGATATACAGAAAGATCTTGGAGTGCAAGTCTATAGCTCCCTGAAAGTGGCAACACAAGTAGGCAAAGTGGTAATGAAGGCATATAGTACGCTTGTCTTCATTGGTCAGGGCATTGAGTATAAAGGTTGGCAAGTCATGTTGCAACGGATAAGACTTTAGTCAGGCTATGTTTGGAGTAGTGCGCACAGTTCCAGTTGCCACACTACAGGAAGGATGTGGAGGCTTTGTAGAGGGTGCAGAAGACATTTACCAGAATGTTGCCTGGCATGTTGATTGGCATGTAATAGCTACAAGGGGAGGTCAGACAAACTTGAGCTGAGGGGGGCGAACTGATGGAAGTATATAAAACTATGACAATCATGGACAGGATGGATCATCGTAATTTTGTTTTTCTATTAATTTGTGGATATAGGCATTGCTGGCTGGCCAGCATTTCTTGCCCATCCCTAGTTGCCCTTGAGAAGGTGGTGGTGAGCAGCCTTCTTGAACCGCTACAGTCCTCCTGCTGTGGGTTGACCCACAATGCTATTAGGGAGGGAATTCCAGGATTTTGACCCAGTGACAGTGAAGGAACGACAATATATTTCCAAGTCAGGATGGTGAGTGATTTGGAGGTGGTGGTGTTCCCACATGTCTGATGCCCTTGTCCTTCGAGATGGAAATGGTCGTGAGTTTGAAAGGTGATGTCTGAGATGAATTTCTGCCGTGCATCTTGTAGATTGTACACACAGCTGCTAATGAGCGTTGGTGGTGGAGGGAGCAAAAGCTTGTGGATGTAGTGCCAATCAAGTGGGCTGCTTTTTCCTGGATGGTGTCAAGCTTCTTGAGTGTTGTTGGGGCTGCACTCATCCAGGCAAGTGGGGAGTATTCCATCACACTCCTGACTTGTGCCTTATAGATGGTGGACAGGCTTTGAGGAGTCAGGGGATGAGTTATTTGCCGCAGTATTCCTAGCTTCTGGCCTGCTCTTGTAGCCACTCTGTTAATGTGGTGAGTCCAGTTGAGTTTCTGGTCAATGATAACCCCCAGGATGTTGATAGTGGGGAATTCAGTGATGGTAACACCATTGAATGTCGAGGGATGGTGGTTAGACTTTCTGTTATTGGTGATGGTCATAGCCTGGCATTTGTGTGGCGCAAATGTCACTTGCAATCGCTTTCCCAGAATAGAAATGTCAAATACTCGGAGCCATAGGTTTAACAGGACCGGGGGAAAGTCTAAAAGGAAATGAGGCAAATTTATTTTTTTAAACACAGGGTGGCAGGTGCCTGGAACACAGTGTCAGGGAAGGTGGTAGAAGCAGGAACGTTTGCAAAGTTTAAGACACATGAACAGGCAGAGGACAGAGGGATATAGACCACGTGCAGGCATTAGTTTAGAATAGGATCATGGTCAGCACAGACATGGTGGGCCAAAAGGGCCTGTTTACGTGCTGTACTGTTCTTTGTTCCATGTATTGTATTTTATTTTGGCTTTGGAAGGATATATTGATCTTGGAAGAAGTATTGATAAGATTAAGCTAAGAAGAGAGGTTAAACAAACTGGAGTTCT